AAATTTTCTCCCAGGCATCGTTAACGAGTTATTAACGAAAAACAGTGACCAATGAGAGACGAGCTCGGCTGGCGCGAGGCGACCGGGCTTCGTGCGCTGGTTGGCTGGGCCGCCTCGCGTCAGCCGTACTCGATTCTTATTGGTCACTGTTTTTCGTTAATAACTCGTTAACGGTGCCTCGAAGAACATTTTTGTAAAGGAAGAAGCTGCTTCAAATGATCCGAGGAACCCGCCATTTCCGGATTGCGAGACATTTTTGGGACACCATGTAGAATGACTGGTACGACTCGCTTTCGGTCCATTTAAGGAAGCCTCGGATCGGGTTTACCGGCGGGCGTGCATCGCGGGTGCCAGTTTCTCGTCGCGAGGCGCCAACTGGTGCTGCGAAAAGGTCACAGGGCCGTGCAAATGTTGGCGAAAAGAACAACGAAGAGCACGGCTCGTGGAAACAACGCAAACGCGTTTTATTCGCAGGGTGCCCCTTGTCGAGGGACCCTGAAGCCACCGGTGGATCTAGTTTTTCCGAATATTCGAGGCAGTACCGTCCGGCATTTCTCTCGTTTTCGAGGCCTGGGCGTTGGCAATCGTTATTTCTGAATGCACGGGGCGCAATAACGAGAGCCAACTCCCGTCTGATTAACCCCTCGTCTTACGATTTATTTCTAAAGAAACGCGCGCGTGCGAACAATTGCAATCTAGCGCGACTCCACGAGTTATCGCAAAATAAAAGCAAAATATTTCTGTTTACATTTGTTCACCGAAAGATTGCTCGCGTTATAAAATGGACGTAAAAATGCTGTCGGACCTTGCCAATTTATCTGTTTTCCTTTCTTTTTTATATTTTATTCGAGGCGTTACTTAACGCTTTATCTACCGGAAGCCTATTCATAGAATTCGCAATTGTTATGCAATGCTGAGAGAATTTTAAACGATTTAGTTTCTTCTACGCGATAACTCCGAACGATTTGGACAGCCAGTGATGAAGTCGCTGGACAATTTGTTAAGCAGTTTCTTCGTTCACCCGGTGTCGAAGCGTTCATCATCGTTAACGGACCACGGATTTTATGGGGAGAGATTACGGTGTTATTGAACACCTCTGTTTCTCAGAATTGTTCGAAGGCCGTTTGCCCATCGGGTTCGAGCTTTTCTTTATTCTGTGTCACTTTAGATGATGGTTACGCTTTTTCTCGAAGATTAGAGGGACTTGTGTGACGTGTCGCCCGGCTATTGGTCACTCTCTGTTTGAGGATTTTATCGGTATTAAAGAAACCTTTTAGACTTAGTTTTTTATTAAGATAAGTGAATCGCGAGGAATTAGACTTTTACAAGCGGAATGAATTCGATTCTTGAGCGGCGGTTAATCAATTACATAAGAAACGCTCGCTGGGACCAATTAATTGTCGAAATCGCGAATTACAGAAATGTACTACTCTTTTGTGTCAATCGCACGATGATAACACGTTGCCCACCACGTGACTGGTACACTAACAGCGACTTTGTCAGATGATTGTACTCCGCTGAGCATTGATATCGAGCACTGTTTATCTACGAATATTATTGACACATCGCGTTTATCAATGGTCTATCTAGGGCTAGAATAACCTGATAGATTTTACTTGTAAATGCGGACAATTAACGGCGAATCGAATTAACTCTGATTGGCTTGTCTCCGCGGAAATTGCAATATTGTGATCAAATCTTATTATATCATGATACTTCAGCAAAGTGTTCTTCAATGAGCGCTAATTAGAAGAAGAAAAAAATCGATCGATCACTTTTTTTTTAAATATTGTAGATCATCCACGTGTACAGATCGTAAAATTTGCAATTAGTTACGTAAACAATTATTCTCGAATCAAATCGATTGCGATTAACAGTTGCCACACTATGTATATCCTTACAGTTGCAACGATCGAAACGTTTTTAATGATTTCCTCGTACCGAGTGGACGGTTCATATTTTCGCACTTAGGTTCGCTATTAGGCTTCCTATCAAAGCGTTATGTATGCGAATTTTTTTGTAACATAAAAATTGCCCGCACAATTGCAAGAAATAGAGAATAAATAGCGAGTTCCTTCCTTCTTGAACGATGACACGTTGTCATTCTGAAATTTCTGCTATTTTAAATTAATATATAGCTATTATTAATTTATATATAATATATAAAATAATTATATAAAATAAAGTATATATATAAATAATTATATATATAATTATTTTAATAAAATATAAAGAAGATATTATTTCACGAAGGTACGTGCATTCTAAAATATAATGATATGCATTACAAGTTGACCTCACGTGCGGTACAAAATTAATTCAATTTTCTTTGCGGACATATAAAATTATGGTCGTCACAAGTTACGTACGACGTCCGACAACGAACGTATTAATCTTTCACTCAAGTATCGATCAAAGATGAACAGAATATTATGTAAATACAAACCTGAACGCACGTTTAAACAAATTCAACGAAGGGATGATTTTCGCGTAAAATTTGTATTCTAATTATTGCAATAAACATGGCTTAAATCATTGTTATTACGAATCAAGTAGGTTCGTGTGCGACGCGTAATTCGATTTTACGATAGAAAACACCGTTTTATATTTTCTTCTAGATCGAAGAAAGAAAATCGTAAGACCGCACGTCGATCAACAGGAGGTTCGCGGAGGACAGGATTTATTATTTCAGTAAACGCGGATAAAATGTAAAGGGGAGAAAGACTTACGCATCTTGAAATATCAAAAAAGAAAAAAAACATACGGAAAGTGACGGAGAGTTTCGTCAACGTTTTACGCTATACAAAAAGATTGTTGGATTCTAGAAAAATTCTAGAGAAATTCTAGAAAAATGGTAAATTCTAGAAAAATTCTAGAAAAATTCTAGAAAAATGGTAGAGGAATTATAGAAAAATTCTAGAAAAACGGTAAAAAAATTCTAGAAGAATTCTAGAAAAATGATATAGAAATGATAGTAAAATTCTAAAAAAAAATGGTAGAGAAATGATAAAAAAATTCTAGAAAAATGATAGAAAAATGATAGAAAAATTATAGAAAAATTCTAGAAAAATTGTGGAAAAATTGTAGAAAAATTATAAAAAAATGGTAGAGAAATGATAGGAAAATGAGAAAGAAGATGGAAGATCGGGGGATGTAGCTGGACGATCGGTCCCGTTTCCCCCGGAAACCACGATCCACGGTCTCGGGATCCCAAGTGGCGCGTCGCGCCGCGTCGCCGGGAACAGTAGCAGTAGATAGGACAGATAGCCGGTCGGTAATTAGCAGCAGCTGATTGGTCACCTTCTTCCTCGGCATAACCGAGCCGGTCGGGGATGAAGGAGCGTATAAACGTGTCGCGTGGCACCGTGGTGGGGGCTTATTTACTCGGTGTTCAGAGCAATGCCGGGTTGGCCGATCGACGACGGATCGAGGAACGGCAGTCCGCGGCTGACACTCGCTGAGATCGCGTGACGTGCTTCCCCGACGGAATGTCCCCACGATCCACCGTCGTCGACGAGCTAAACTAGTCGGTGCTATCGGCTGCTGGTGCTGATCAGTGATCAGTGTTGTCCCGCGAAGACTTGCCTCCGGATCCTCTTCGGGCACCAGTGAACCTAGAGTTCCCTTGTTTCGGCTCGGTTCCCACTGCAAAGAGGACCTCGTGTGTTGTTCGCAGGGGTGGGGGAATATGTGACAAGGTTCGTGAACACGTGGACCATCGGGACCCATCGAGAAGCATCGAGAAGCATCGGGAGCCATCGGGAACCATCGGGAAATTATCGAGAACTGAAATCATGGGATAAAGGGACGAAGTGAAAGCCCTCTGATCGATCGACTCTGATAGATCGCTTCTAACGAGGAGAGAGAGAGAAAGCGAGAGAGAGAAAGGCGCACGCCGAGAGATCGCGGCGGGCCCATTGGTCCTCAGAGACCTAATGGCACCCGACCTTGAGAAGAAGCGGCAGGAACTCAGGAGGACCAGCAGCGGTACCTTGGACCACCCCGGCCATGAACACTTTCACATGCTGCTGCAGCTTCGCTGCAACGGACACGCGCTGACCGAGCCCTATCGACACGGTAATCACGATCCATCATCGATTTCGATGTTACCGTTCTCGTTGATCCTCGCCGAAGATTAGGCGTCGCAGATTCCAAAATTAGTCGATTCCGACACGCGCAACGCTCGGCAAAGTTCGGGACAGGGTTCTGTGTTTTTCTCGCCTCGATAAGATAACATTGTAAACACATTTTTGTTCGATTCAATAATCTCCGCGAATTGCTACTGATTGCGATTCTGTTTCTGTTCTTTTTATACCGCCTGCGGCCGGTACGCTTTTCTACAATTATTATGTAATAACCGAGGTGTCGTCCTCTCTTGTCTATGGTGGGGCACGTTCGATAAACTTGCGCAGTGCGAGGACTCGGGATCGGTTCGGATCGGTGTTCAGGAAAAAAGCGAGTCGGCGTTTGATTTTCAAAATTAGTCGATCGGTGGGAACGTCGCGGCTTGCGCGATCCCCGGACTTTGAGAAATTACAGGTTGTATCGTGCAATAAAACGAAACGAACGAAGTAAGAATTAAATATTATACAAAAAAATTTAACAAATATTATAACATTATACTGGTGAGATCGCCGGACTATCTCAACCCCTTGCATTCCATGGCATTTTAATTATAGACTCCTGGTATTTCTATTTTATTTATTCATTAATTTCAATTATTTATCAACGAGGAAAATCATTTTCTACAAAAACGCGCGAAGCAAAACAAGATAAAAATCCATAGAAAAGAATATATTATCGCTTACGGAGGTTAGGAAAAATAATTATTGTAAATTATACCGCAACGACAGTCTTCGACTTCTTGCGGTTTGTTCGATTATGTGCTCGCGTGTACGGAGTTAGCATGATTAATCCATTCTATTTATACAATTTTGAGATCCATATGTTCGTATTCCACATGTTTGCAGAATAAAACTGAGAATTGAATAATTGCTCGACATGAGATACGTTCTCTGATCACTTCACTTACAAATATTATTCCTTCTCAATTTCATAGAAACATTTCATACGACTTTTGCGCATTTTATGCGTACGAAATTGAGCCTTTCGATCGTGTCTTAAATATGTAGAAATTCTATGATTATTATTATTTATTTACGGGCTACTGGACCCTTTTAAATCATACAGATAAAATACACATAATTAGGAACTATGTAAACGTTACAGTCGAATCAGTAAAATGACTCGGGGTGTTTCCAAAGAAATCTTGTAGTTGTAGCAGTAATGTAAAAATGATTTCGGACGCGATATAACAATGTTTAGCTCGTCGTCCCCGAGAGAAAGGGGTTAATTACAATTAACAATTAAAGTTCCTACAGGAACTTTCGAGCGTCGTCGACGAATCTGAATTCGAAAACCGAACGTTCAAAAATAAAAAGGTACGTCCATCGCGATGAGATTTTCACTAGCCCTTTGCTCGACGCGTTCCAGGTCCGGACCGAACCGAGCGTCAATTTGTCCCTCGTGAATCATCGGCCAATAAGACGGCCGGAAATGTGCCGCCACGCTTTTCTCGTCGGTGCACAATAATTTCTCTCCTTTCGCGCTCCGAAGTTTATGTCACTCGCGCCACCGCCGCTGCCGCCGCCGCGCCGATCGATCATCCCCCAGTCCCATCGGAAGATCCTGGACACGGTCGATTCGTTTTCACGTTATTTTCCTCATCCGTCGGTTCGATATTATTGTTAGAAATATCCTCGCGTGTCGCGCCGCCCAACGCCCGGGAAAATTGATGCACTCGTTTCGCGATAACCTTCGGAGACACGTCGCAATGCCCTCCGCTCCCTTTTTCATCCCTCCCACGCCAACACCGTCACAATAAATCACGGTCCACCCTCTGGATGCTTGCATTTTTCTGCATTCTTCTGCTTACTTCTATTTTACGCCTCGTTGAGGGGCGACCAATTGCTGCGGTATAATTAATATATAATTCATAATAATAATAATAATAATAATATAATTAATAATAATAGTAATAATAATATAATTAATAATAATAATAATAATAATATAATTAATAATAATAGTAATAATAATATAATTAATAATAATAATAATAATAATATAATTAATAATAATAGTAATAATAATATAATTAATAATAATAATAATAATAATATAATTAATAATAATAGTAATAATAATATAATTAATAATAATAATAATAATAATATAATTAATAATAATAGTAATAATAATATAATTAATAATAATAATAATAATAATATAATTAATAATAATAGTAATAATAATATAATTAATAATAATAATAATAATAATATAATTAATAATAATAGTAATAATAATATAATTAATAATAATAATAATAATAATATAATTAATAATAATAGTAATAATAATATAATTAATAATAATAATAATAATAATATAATTAATAATAATAGTAATAATAATATAATTAATAATAATAATAATAATAATATAATTAATAATAATAGTAATAATAATATAATTAATAATAATAATAATAATAATATAATTAATAATAATAGTAATAATAATATAATTAATAATAATAATAATAATAATAATAATAATAATTGTATTCGGAAAGATAATGGAGCCCAGATCAGGAACAATAACCGTATCTCTCGCTGAATATTCCGGTCTGTGCCTCGTTACGGAGAAAATTGAAGGAAAACTTTAAACTTAGCAGAGAGAGACATAGATACCGGAGGTAATGACAGTCGGAACGCATTCGACGATAGCCGGCCGTACGTGCGTTTTGCATACACTTTCGAGTATGATAATAAAGCGAATTCTTTACGAGTGGAAAAGGAGGTTGGCCATTTTTCATCGGGTTCTGGCCTGGTTCTGCCCGAATTTTATAGAGAAAGTTCTTTTCTAGACGTGCGCACGAAGTTTATGGGACTGTGCGCGAATGCGTCGCCATGTTGGATTGCGCAACGCCAAGCTTATGCCGGTTTCGAAGTGGTTTTGGCGGGAGAACGTTGGGCAAGAGACCTTCTTGTCTCCACTTTTTCGTCGAGCCGAAGATTCTCGAAACCTTCGCCCGAAAAAAGGAAAAAGAACAGAATCTCGTACTTTTTACTCGAAATTTGTCCGACCTACATCGAAACTTATTTCTCATTGGATCGCGGATTTTATTTGTGAGAGAAATACGAGACGAACGTTCGTGCTGCTCCTGTATCTCGCAATTGGTGCGGGCAATTTTTTATTTTGCAGAAAAATCCGCGGTCTCTGGAATTTTTTTTTCATAAAAAAAGTTCGACGACCACTTTCGCTTCCACGACGCTATTTTCTGTACTTTTTAAATTCCGGACAACCGTTTCGGCTCTTAAAATTCAATGTCGCCTACACAATTGCGCCGTCAGCGACGATGCCGGGGCATCGACGTTTTTTTTTCGCAATCATGCATATTCTTCGGAAACAATAAGAGCGTCGCGTATCTTCTCCGTCGAATCGCCGAGTTTCTTCTCCGCTTCCCAGACTATTAGCACTCCCCCGATAAATTGAAACGTGTTTCTTCTCCGCCTTCGGAACCTTCTTTTTCTTCTTTTTTTTCGCTGACCAGTATTCCTTTCTTTTTCTCGCGATTTCCACGTGTTGGCTAATTAACATACGTCTCTACCGGTTTCTCGCTCACGATCTTGATCGCGGATCCTTCGATCCTTTTTCTCGTGTCGAGGTGACTCGACGGTCGAACTGTGTCGAATTATCGTCCATCGGCGCCGCCACCACGTCATTTACGATCCGGCAGGCTCTGAGGACGCTTCTGAAACTGTTGTCCAGGTCGGGAACCGTTTCATCGACCCTTCTATCGGCACCGGGCGTTCGTTAACTATTTTATACCGTGCCATAATGTTTTATGAACTCCGTGCAAACCGAGTAAATGAATGACTATATATTTTCGCGAGACAGCCTCGCGACCGAAGAGCCTCGAAAGCGTCTCTAAAATGAAACGATGGCCGGTATCTTCTGGCAACTGGTTATTTACCGAGCTGGAAACCGACGCGACGAGCATGGGAAATCGACGAGAGCATAGAACGCTGTCGGTCAGTCCTCGAATGAGCTCAAACGGGCAGAATTAGCCGGTTGTTCGATATCAAGAATTCAATTATGCGACCGTGAGGTCGTTCCGAGAAGTGCTTGGAAATTGGTCATTTTTGTTCACGTGCCTAAGCGTAAGAAACGCGGACCACGGAAACCGTGGCAGCTGTCGACGCCTTTTAACAGCCGTTATGGAAAACGCGATCGTCCTGCGTCTCTGCGTTTCCATGATCCTCTTCGATGTCTAAACGCTTCCGCGAATGTAGGCGAGCCACCGTTTTCCCGGGGAAACCGAGCATGATGTATCGTCGCAGATGGGCTTCTCACGCATTGCTTGCATTCCTAGCGAGACTGCCTTAGAATCGTTCCAGTCTCTCGGAGACGCTGTTAGCTCGTTTTCTAACAACTTGGAAACCTTGTTGGCTGTGTAGAACATTCCTAAGGACCTGTACTCCGCTTCGAAAGTAATCTGCTCGGTTGAAACACTTCGTTGGCAGACGAATAAGAGGTCGGGGAATATTTGATTTGTCGCAGACTTTTTGGCTTTCAAAGAGGTAAATGAATTAGTCTACAATTCGTTCATTCGCGTGTTCGTTGCACGAGTGTCGTGTCTCTCTTTCAACAGCAAACTTTTCAGAGAATTTCTATCGCGAACGCTACAACCACTTCAGCTACCCAGATGACCTCAATCTCCCCAAGGCAAGAGGCATCGAAGTCTTCGCCTTAGTATGGACATCGATTCTCCAATGCTGATAGCTTATCATTTTTTAAATATTTTCCGTTCGTTCGAATATTTTAGAGAGACGGTAACATCGTGTTACATTGTTCTGTGCGAAAGAAACGAAGATCGCGTTCAGTTCCAACATCCTCTCACAATTTTCACATCTTCGATCACCGATTTTATCTCAATTTTCTCTGCTTGTATTTTATGTTTCCATCGTCTAATCGAACCCCATCCTTACAAACGTCTCAAAAAGACGAGA